TGGACACAGAGACAAGATACTTGCCTTTGAAAAAGCTTGCATTGGCACTAGTCATAGTCGCGAGGAAGTTAAGGCATTACTTTCAAGCGCACCCCATCACCGTCCCCACATGTCAACCTTTGAAGGTGATTCTAAGGAAGACGGACCTCTCCGGGTGGATAGCAAAATGGGCCATGAAGTTTGGGGAACATGCCACTCACTACAGACCTCGCATGGCAATAAAGGGTCAGGTGCTAGCAAACTTCATTGTTGAATTTACCAAGGGGGAGCCACCTCCCCTCGAGGTGGAGCTCTCCATGGACAACTAAGTGCACTCCTGGAAACTCTGCGTGGACAAATTCTCCAACAACAAGGGTTCTAGAATTAGAGTGTTATTGGTCTGCGGAGGGATCACTCACAGAGCAAGTTGTACGGGTGGGTTTCAAAGCATCCAACAATGAGGCAGAATACGAAGCTCTTATCTCTGGACTCAAACTTGCTAATGTAGCGGGGGCCATGGAGCTAATGGTTCATTGTGATTCCTTACTAGTAGTCAACTAGATGAAAGGGGAGTTTGAAGCAAGGATCCAAGGATGAAAGCATATCACCATAAGGCGATGACCCTCTCCACAAGTTCAAGAAGGTGGAAGTGAAGTAGGTCCCCCGGGACAAGAATGCTCATGCCAATGCCTTGGCATGCTTTACCTCGGCGTTGGACTCCAACATGACACGAAGGATTACTGTGGAGTTCCTTCCCAACTCTAGCATAGACGACGTCCCTAGGGTGGTGGCTAGGGATGACAGTGGACCGAAACGGGGGCAGGGGGTGTAGTCTCCATCCCTGTACCTGCTTAAAAAAATTATGTCCATCCCCGATCCACCCCCGTTAATAGGTATAATTTTTATTTTTATCCCCGTCTGCGGGTAAATTTTTAATCACAGCCCCCATCCCCGCTTCCCCATACCCGTATAAGCCCAAGCCCAAGCCCCAACCTGCACGAGAATTAACAATCTTCTAAGCTCCTGAGATTAGATATTAAATCTTGAATCTTTCATGTAAATGTGTCTGGAAAAGAACAAAATAGAGAGAACCACAAAAACAAACTTAGACTCAATAAACAATTATATTGCATTTCAAAGAAAAATGTGGTTTTAGTTTACTAAACTGAAGCAAGCAAAAGTACTTCGAAACCACATAGGAAACAAATTTTAGTATCCAGAGATGAACAAATGATAAAGGGGCTTACAACACTGGAAACCTTCAAACCCAAATACTAATTGACATAATTGTTTATTGATTACAATCGATTACAACACAGACAACATCAATTATAAACAAAATAAACAAACAAATGAGAGAGAGGGAAGGAGGCGATTAGTATCATTACAGCGATCAGAATCAATTATAAAATTATCAATGTGGTTTTAGTTTACTAAACTGAAGCAAGCAAAAGAGGAAACCTTCAAACCCCTTTTAGCATCATTTTCTAGTGTTGTAATCAATTAGTATCATTGCAAAACTGGAATCCCTTTAAGTATCTAGGGGCTTACAACATCAATTATAAACAAAACAAACAAACAAACAAACAACCCACATTGAAACATCTGAATAGTCATCGATTTGTATCTAGGTACCTAACGATGGAAGTGAGAAAGCTGAGTGTAGCGATCAGCTATGCCGATGGGTGTGGGTGTCTATTTCACTGTGAGAGAAAGAGAGGGGGGAGGCGATCAGCTATCACCCCCGTTAATAGGTATAATTTTTATTTTTATCCCCGTCTGCGGGTAAATTTTTAATCCCAGCCCCCATCCCCGCTTCCCCATACCCGTATAAGCCCAAGCCCAAGCCCCAACCTGCACGAGAATTAACAATCTTCTAAGCTCCTGAGATTAGATATTAAATCTTGAATCTTTCATGTAAATGTGTCTGGAAAAGAGCAAAATAGAGAGAACCACAAAAACAAACTTAGACTCAATAAACAATTATATTGCATTTCAAAGAAAAATGTGGTTTTAGTTTACTAAACTGAAGCAAGCAAAAGTACTTCGAAACCACATAGGAAACAAATTTTAGTATCCAGAGATGAACAAATGATAAAGGGGCTTACAACACTGGAAACCTTCAAACCCAAATACTAATTGACATAATTGTTTATTGATTACAATCGATTACAACACAGACAACATCAATTATAAACAAAATAAACAAACAAATGAGAGAGAGGGAAGGAGGCGATTAGTATCATTACAGCGATCAGAATCAATTATAAAATTATCAATGTGGTTTTAGTTTACTAAACTGAAGCAAGCAAAAGAGGAAACCTTCAAACCCCTTTTAGCATCATTTTCTAGTGTTGTAATCAATTAGTATCATTGCAAAACTGGAATCCCTTTAAGTATCTAGGGCTTACAACATCAATTATAAACAAAACAAACAAACAAACAAACAACCCACATTGAAACATCTGAATAGTCATCGATTTGTATCTAGGTACCTAACGATGGAAGTGAGAAAGCTGAGTGCAGCGATCAACTATGCCGATGGGTGTGGGTGTCTATTTCACTGTGAGAGAAAGAGAGGGGGGAGGCGGTGGCTGATAGATGAAGAGATGACTAACTTAGGGCTTTAAGCCTTTAAGGGTTTAACTAGGACCGAGAGTATATATATATATATATATATATATATATATATATATATATATATATATATATATATATATATATATATATATATATATATATTTTAACGGGTAAAATGAGGATGAGGCGGGGCAGGGTGGGGGTAAGGGTAAGTCCATCCCCGCACAAATTTATACTGGTATTCTCGTATATGTCTACCGTCCAATACGTATAATCCATCCCCAATCCAAACGAGATGGATTTGGGCGAATACCCATTTTTTCCCGGTCCACTACCATCCCTAGTGGTGGCCATCTTAGAAAGGGAGGAGTCCCCTAGCTAGATTGATCCTCTGCTTAAGTTCCTTGTCTCCAGGAAACTCCTTGAGTGTCCCAAGGAAGCAAGGAGGATAAAGTTAAGGGCTCCAAGATTCTAGACCTCCCCGGAATAGAAACTATACCAAAAATTATTCTTCGAACCTTATTTGCTTTGTGTCCAAGAAGACAAAGTTGAGCCCCTCCTGTACGAAGTACACAAAGGCATATGTGGGGGGACACTCAGGGGATGATCGAGGGCCTATTGCATCATGTCGCAGGGGTATTAGTGGCCACGGATGTAAAGGGATGCACAAGCTTATGTCCAAAAATGTGGTCAGTGTCAAAGGTTTGCTTCCGCCATTAGACAACCAACAGGAGACTTACACCCGCTGACCAGCCCTTGGCCATTTGCCCAATGGGGGCTCAACTTGGTCGGACCCCTCCCAAGGGCTCTTGGAGACAAGAAATTCTTAATAGTTGGGATTGATTACTTCACAAAGTGGGTCAAGGTGGAGCCATTGACTTATATCAGGGACAAGAACATCAAAAGGTTCGTGTGGAGAAACATAGTGACAAGGTTTAGGGTCCCCCGTGCACTTGTGTCGAATAATAGGACCCAGTTTAACAGCGCACCCTTCAAATCTTTTTGTGAGCATTCTGGAATCTAGAATTACTACTCCACGCCCTCTTACTCGTAAGCCAACGGATAGTCAAAATCTTCAAACAAAACCATCGTCAGTAGAATTAAGAAGAGGTTGGAGAAAGCTAAGGGGAAATGGGAAGAGCTCCTAAATGTCCTTTGGGCTTACAGGATAATTTTGCGGACCCCAACGGGTGAAACACCTTATGCCCTTGCATACAGAGTAGAGGAGGTAATCTCATTGCAGGTAGACCTCCCTACTATAAGAACACAAGCTTTCGACACTGGGAAAAATGATCACTAACTCGGCCTACACTTGGATCTCATGGAGAAGAGAAGAGAAATGGCTACCTTGAGACTAGCTAAGTACTAAGAAGGGGTGTCCAAACTCTACAATAAAAGAGTAAAACCTTGAAGCTTTCAAGTAGGTGACCTGGTGCTCAGGAGAGTAGTCAAGAACACTTGTAACTCAGTTAATGGGAAAATGGGACCTAATTGGGAAGAACCATATAAAGTTACGTCAGAAGGAGGCTCCGAATCGTTCAAGTTAGAGGATATGGAAGGAAATATTGTACTTTGGCCCTGAAATGTAATGAATTTGAAAAAGTATTATTTTTTAGAACTAAGACTTATTTTTGCTAAGTGTGCTGTCTTGGAAGGGGGATCACCCCGGAGGTGGAGTCTTAGGACCCTTGCCTCCAAAGAAATAAAGGAGCAAAGCTTCCTAAAAGGGGCATGGCCCAAGAGGCGAAGTCTTAGGACCCTTGTCTCCAAAGAAATAAAGGAGCAGAGCATCCTAGAAGGGGCATGGCCCTGGAGGCAGGGTCTTAGGACTCTTGCATCCAAAGAAACAAGGAACAAAGCCTCCTAGAAGGCGCATAACCCTGGAGGCAAGGTCTTGGAACCCTTTCCCCTAAAGAAATAAAGAAGCAGAGCCTCCTGGAAGAGGTATGGCCCCGAAGGCAGGATCTCAAGACTCCTGCCCCCAAAGAAACATGAAGAAAAACCTCCTGGATGGGGCATGGCCCCGAGGACAAGGTCCTAGAAAAAGGCTTGTCCTCAAAGAGACCCTAGGAGCGAAGCCTCCTGAATGTGTCACGATCCTGAGGGCAAGGCCTTAGAAAAAGTAAACTTGCCCCAAAAAGACTGAAGGAGCGAAGCCTCTTGTACAGGGCATGGCCCCTAAGGGGGGTCACTTAGAAATTCCACCATAAAGAAGCCAAGGCCAAAGGGAAAGAGGATACCGGACTTGGGTCTTGGAACCTCAGTTCCGAGGAGTTGCACTTCAAAAAAAAAAAGGAGAGAACAAAGAAAAGGCAAACACTTAGAAAAAAAAAGGGGGTGTTCTTGTATTAAAAGAAGGGAGGGATTTGCGTCTCTCAAGCTACAAAATAAAAACTAAGTTACCACGAAACAAAAAACTAAGCTTAAGGAGGCCTAGTGACCTCGCCGTCAATACCTCCTCCAATGTCACCAAAAAGTTCATCAATACTTGTAGAGTAAGAGTCAGCGTTGCATCGACAAGAATAGTAGAAGCTTCACCTTGAGGGGAAGGCACAGTAGTAGAAGCGGGAGCAGCATCGATAGGAGCTAGAGTTGAAGCTGGAGCAATGTCGGTGGGAGGAAGAACAGGGTCATCCCGAGGCGCTGAAGTAGGGCCCACGATCTCGACCGCTAGAACTGAGTTTGGGACTTGGGGAATCCCAGCATCTTCAGCCATAATTTTGATTGCGGCTTGCACCATCTCTTTAGAAGGAGTGTACTCGTGCTTCTTGTAGAGTGGAGACTCAGCAGGGACCCCAGCAGCCCGAAGTACCTCATCCCATCCGATCTTGAAGCTCTCTCTCTTAGTTTCTTTGAAGGCCACCAAGATGTCTTTGGCACACCGATCAATGATTTTTTGTTTTGACTTCTAGTTGGCCTCAAGATTAGCCCTTAATTTATCCAACTCCTGGGTGAGTGAAGCATAAGTTTGCTCTGACTCGACTACCCTCACCTAGGCTAAAGATACCTATTTTGTCACCTCGATCATCTGTTTCTTAGTGTCGATGAGAGAGGCCTTAACTCTGTCCACCTCACCCTTGGCAGCCTGACTCTTTTTGAAGAGCTTGGAAATCTAAGCGCCTTGAGTAGATAGGGTCTTATCCCTGGCCACCACTTTCTCTTTAGCTGAAGCAAGAGCTCCTCGGGCCTTCTCCAGGTTGGCCTGGAGCCTTTTGCACTCTTGGATCTTGTCCTGGTGGGCATGAAAGGGCTCAGCAATGACAGACACATGCTGACCAGCCTGAAAAATAATACAAGGGGAAGATTATGCTGAGGGAAGCACTAAAACAACAAGGAAAATGAAAAAAATTCCACAAGTGTTGAGGCCTTACCACCAAGAAATTCTGGTTTAGGCTATGGAACAAGTTATTGCTCCCACAGTCCTGATGAATCACCATATTGATGTCAAAATGGAGTGCCTCAGTAACGGTGTAGGCGATGTGGGGAGAGGCAATGAGGGAATCAGTCACCTGGGCTGGCTAATTGTCGTGATCTCGAGCCCTATGGTGCCACTGTAGGACATTGGGTGTCGGTGTCGATGTTGGAGTCAATGTCAGAGTAGGAGTGCCTATGCCTCGGCCACCATCGTGCCTTTGCTTCACTCTCCTTTCCTCCTACTAAGGATCCCTTCCATGCCCTCAACCACGTCCAGTTGGCGTCGGCAGGACAAGGGCATCAGCTAGAGGAGGAATGGAAAAGGGTTTGGACCCTTAGATTGGGACCCCGGAAGGGCGAGTGCAACCATGGTTGGGGGTGACATTGGAGCCCGACCCATGGCCCTTTCTGGCAATGAGAACAACTCTCTCCTTGATTAGGCCAAGGGAGAGACGAGGTGGTTTTGAGATGGCTACTTCCAAAGCATTGTCTTCGTCCAAGTTTTGAAGAATGTTGAAGTCTGGCCAAACATCCCTGCCTAAAGTGCTTGCCTCGACATGGATGGTGGTGGATGGATCCCTCTACTCTTTAGCGTCGGCCGCAGTACCTTTGGTAGCTTCGAACTTGGCCTCGGTGCCTCTATCAGTGTCTTCTTCTAAGTTGTCCCCGGATAGAGCCGACCACCTCGCTGGATCGAATGGTTGAGGAGTTTCAAAGAAGTTTTTGTACCCCAGGATGTAGTTCAGTAGCACGTGCACGGCCCGACCGAACCCATTGCCTAGGTACGCCCAGACAGTGATGATGTAAGACCCGAACATGCATGACCAATATATAATATTTGGCATAAGCATATTCACATATGCATGCGTAGGATTGACGTTTAGGATTTAATTATGAGTAATGATATGAGACCTAAACCTGAACGATGAATATTTTAAATATTTAGAGATAATTTTATAAAGAATGATTATAGGGAGAATTATTTTATTTAAAGTGTGAAAAATTGAATAAGAATGTTGACTTGTGATATTATTTTATTATTTTATGTACATTAGCGCATGTGGAATTAATTCGAGTGACAAGCATGTGACATCAATTTATTGTTATAAAAACAAGTAATAATGGAATAAAATGTATTAGTATATACAAGGAGTGGTTAAAGGTCCGAGAGACAAATTTAATAGATTGTCAATAATTTGAATATATGTATATACATGTTTATGTATAAATATGTATACAAGAAGAAAAAAATGGATACATACATATAATTGTATATATATGTGTATATTATATATATGTGTAATAATATAATAAATATGTGTATGTGTGTGTATATATATATATATATATATATATATATATATATATATATATATATATATATATATATATATATATATATATATATTATATAAAATAGGCTCATGATTGCTAGTTCCACTTAGCAAGACATGCAAGGCATGTCTTGCATGCAAAAAAAGAAACAAAAAAAAGGGGGGGGGGGGGTTTGCACTTGGGATATTTCGGCTATATCAAGAACAAAGAGGGAAAGAAGAAGAAAACCAAGGGAAGAAGAAGGAAACAAAAAAAATAAAGTGTGGGTACAAGGTAAGAATTATGATTCATTTTCTTTCTTCTAGTATGTAGAAAAATCCTATTTTTATTTAGGCATTTTGAGTGTTACATGTGTTTCAAAGATGGTATTTTGTATGTGTTTAGATGTTGTACATTGATGTATGATGTTGGGTATGAGATTCGATTAATGCATGAAAGTTACATCTTGATATTTATGTGGATGTGTAAATTAAGTTAGTATTGTTGTAAAAAAAAAGAAAAAAATTGAAGTGTGGTGGGTACTTAGAATTTTTTTTAATTGTTCTTGAATTTTCACGAAATTCATGGGTATTGAATCTTCATACAATTTTATGATTTTATTGGGTATTTAGAATTAGAAATTTTGTTAATTGTTCTTGAATTTTCATGAAATTCATGGGTATGAAATTTTCATGCAATTTTATGATTTTATTGGGAAATTATGTAGATTCAACTACATTTTGGCTTCTATAATTTTATGAGAAATGTATACTTTGGATGTCATGGCTTCGAGTGGGTCATCTTGTTAGCTATGAATAGATTACTCTCATGTGACTCGAATTGATTATAACTACTAGTTTATTTATTTATGTTTTTTGAGTAATTGATATTACTAGATGTGGATGAGTGATTGAATGTGGATTGATTAAATTAAGAAATTGACTTTGTGTAAACCAGTTCGAGTAAAGAGGTATTATTTATTAATACTCGAATGAGATTTTAAATAATGGGTGTCAGGTCCAAGGACGAGCGCCGTAAAGAACGCTGCTCAAAAAGCTTCGGTAGAGGAGTCATCAACACGATAAATTTTTAGCAAGTTACGTATGTACGCTAACATTTGGTTTTATCTACATGTAAAGGTTTATTTGTTTCTAAGTGACTTTCTAGCTTATGAGTTCTATTGTGAATGAATGGTTTAAGTGTTCTAATGTTACGATAGGAATAAGATGTCTTTGTGACAGATTATAATATTATGGTTTAGTTGTCTATGTGACAAGGGGAAAGAAAAATCAAATGGTTGAGAAGATAAAGGGTCAGATTTCTATGTGACGTATTTTGTTTGCGTAGTGAAGACGTCAAAGAGATGAAAGCGAATTGCTAGACTGTGATGTCTACGTGACTAAAAGTAACCCATGTGTTCAAATTTGTCCTCGTTACTGAGATAAGTTAAAGCTGATTTCGTCTTAGTGACGGAAGCTAAATTTTTGATGTGATGTAAGTTTTTCAGAAAAATAGAATATCAAAAAAATGATACATTTTGTTAAGTTGTCTGAGTGACGATCGTATACTGATATGGTGATTAACTTGTGTGGTGTTTTGTCGTCTGGGTGGCAAACGGTTCTTTTTGTGTGAAATCGTAGCGCAATGAAATAGAACTTCGAGAAAAGTTATGGAACCACGAATATTATTGTGTGGTGTTTTGTTGCCTAAGTGGCAAGATGATTATTTTTGTGTGAAACCCTAGAACAATGAAATAGAATTTTGAGAAAAGATATGGAAACATGAATATTAAAATTGCATAAATGAGCAAGGACATCACATTATTTTTTTTGCTCTATCTCTGAAATCATTAATGAGAACTCACTGAAATTTGCTTGAAAACTTTTCAGGTAAACTGTACACAAGCTTGTAGTCCACTGCCGCTGTTAGAAGTCCAGTTAGGAGTGTCGAGAAGGGCTCGTGTCAATTTCTTATGTCTTTTAGAAAAAACAAAACAAAAAACTTTTTTGGGTTGTATATGATGTCAATATTTTAGTTTTGTCATGTAAGCAAGACTTGTAAATATTTTTAGGATATGTATATTCTACATGGTAGCAGAACCGTGTGCTATGCACATATGACCTTTCTTTAAAAAAAATGATCCTAAGATAAATATTTCTAGGATTAGTTTTTTTTAAGTGTCATGTTATAATGTTTTATTAATAGCGGGATTGCCTAAATTTTATTTTTTATAATAATAGTGTAATGGGATTGGGGTGTTACAATTTTTGGTATCAGAGCCTAGGTTTATAGGTTCTGTAGACATGAATGTCTAGGTCGGCAGTGGACTGGTTAAGTTGTTTGAATCGGTGAGTAGAATGGGTTAAGGTGCTCATGCTAAGTACATGTGTATTTGTGTACGTTGTGAATTACAACTAATTGTTAAAAGCATAATGGATCCTCATGAGGGTCAAGATTAAGGGGAAGATGAAGGTTCACATGCTCCTGTTGTGGCTGAGGCAGGGGAGGGACAACAACAGGAAGGCGGGGAAGGTGAACAGAATCAACTTGATATAATTCAGAGGGCATTGGAAGTGATGGTACAAGTGGCGACATCAACAAATTGGATTGTGGAATTGCAAACAGAGATTCAGGCAGCCACTAGGGCAAGAGCACATGTACCCCTTAGGGAACCGAGAGGTACGGTTCATGAGAGATTTATGAAGTTGGATCCTCCGATGTTTGTAGGGACAATCCATCAGAGGCAGAGGACTAGCTGAAACAAATGGAATCAATTTTTGAAGTTATGCAACTCTATGATGATCAGCGAGTGACACTTGCATCCTTTATGCTTAAGGAGGAAGCACGATTTTGGTGGGAGGCTGCCAGGCGACTGTTGGATGCACTGGTAGTAGGATTTGCAGGTCAAGTAACCGATAATATGGCTCCAGCACCACAGCACATTACTTAGGATCAATTCATGAAAGTGTTCAATGACAAGTATTTTCCTGAGTCTTATCGGTATGAGCAGGA